TGAATGGGCAGCGGGACTCCCAACCCCTGCGCCCCCAGGGAAGCCCCGTTTTTTTTTTTTTTTTTTTTTTTTTATTACCATATTGGATATAACAGTTAACAGGAGAGAAAATACACAGCTGACATAGTCCAGGGGCAGTGAACCCCAGAGATGACCCTAAGGTTTTTTTTTTAATTTGTAAGTTAAACATTTCACTTAAAATCAACGTGATACAACTAAATTACCTTATTTTATTCTTTAAAGACTCATTTCCCTTTAAAGCTACAGAGGCGTCAAATTAAGAAAATAAATCTCTTTGACTTTTTGAAGCAAACTAAACCTGTTTTCCTTGACTGTTTTACCACCTGCCCATTGATTTTTTTTATTGTGCTAAAATATATATCACATAAAATTTACCATTTTAGCCATTTTTAAGTGTATAATTCTGTGTCTGCTGTTCACTTATAAAGGTAGAACATTTCATTACAGAGAATTTGGAAAACAAGGAAGGGAATATGGAATTTTAAAAAAATCACTCAGAAATAAGTTCAGGGAGATCAGCACTATTTGGATATATCTCATTTTTTGTGTATTTTCTATAGTGATTTTACCATCTTACCAGGATTTCTATCTGCTATTCTCAACTTCCCTTCCTGGGACCATTTTCTTACTAAATTCTTAAACTAATGGACAAGTTCTTGAAATCTCATTCTCCATTTATTGCTTCAATCATCATTAGTGGATCAGCATGTCATTTAAAATAATATTTTAAAATCCACCGTCTAGCTAGTCCCCTGTTGTTGAGCATTTGTTTCCAATTTTCTGGAATTATGGACAAGGCTGCAAATGAATATCCTTAGACAATAAAATTTTCATCCACATCTGCAACTGTTTCTTTAGGAGAAATCCCTAGTAGTAAAATAACTACTAGGTGAAAAGTTATGAACTTCACGGCATTGGACATGAAAACAAATCTGCTTTGAATATGCATCTTCTTGGTTATTGGAAAGGAGTCATTTTTTCACGAATTTATTGATCTTCTTTGTGAACTTTCAGCCTATGCGATCTTAAACATTTTCTAACGAGATTTATTTTGAGGAGAAGGGCTAGAGCAATTGGGGACCCACTTTTTGAGTTGCTCAGAGTCAAGTAACGGAATCTTAGACCCTCAGATCCTCACTCTGGGCCTCAGTTTTGTCACCTCTTTGTTAAATAGGAGGCGGCCGGCACGCTTATGAAATCCACGGGGACCACAGTCTAACACTGTGGGCGTAAGGCAGGGACCCAGAGGTCCTTACAAGGTGTTCCCTCAGTTGCCCGAGATGCCCCCCACACGCGGGGCACTGTCTCCTTCCCCGAAGGCTGCTGGGGCCTCTACCCTGGCCTCTCTTCAAACCGCAGGGGTAGCGGTGCAGCCGCCCTCCTGCCTTTACCTGAGGGAGATCCCGCCGGGCAGCGGCTTCTCAGTCCTGGCTAACTGCACCGGCTGCAGCCAGCTCGCGTCTCTAGTCCACTGTTGTGCCTGGTTGCTAGGCGACAGCGTGCCGCGCCTGCGCAATCCGCGCCCGCGTGCGCCGCGTCAGTGGAAGCGCGCGCTCGGCTTTCCGAGGCACTCCTTTCCCCCTCGCGAGTAGAGGTAGGTACCCGAGGAACCGTGTGCTCCCTCTGTACCTGAGTCCCGGGCTTCGGGGCAGGATAAACACTGGGAATCCTCTCCTTGCAGTTGTTGAGGCAAGTGTAAATCGGGAGGCAGGGCCGCCTCAGCAGCTGCCCAGAGGACTGGCCATGGATTCACATACTCTGAGGTGCGGATGCGTTCTCCCAGCGACAGGCCTCGGCCAGAGTCTCTGTGAGGTGACTTCCAAATCGCCACCTTCTGCCCGGACTCCGCCGAGCTGCCGACCTGCATTGCTAACTTTCCATGCGCGAGGGTGTCCAGTCTGTCCCCACAGAACGTATCATATCCCTTCAGAACCACCTCCTCTTACACCTGATTCCTCTTTCTGCCATTTCTCCCAATAGCCTAGAACTTGTTTCCCTTCCCCCTCCACCCCTAACTCCAATCAGCACTTAAATCAATCCGCCCTCCACTTTTTGTCTCCTGTCTATTCCCTCTCTTAAATCTTTATTGTCACCCCAATCCAGGTCATCATTTTTTGCCTTCTAAGTGATGGTTTAGGTTTCTCTTTCCAGTGCTTTCTTGGTACCACAGATCAACCTTCCGGAAATTATTGCCCTAGTCATGTCACTCCCCTACTCAGACTTGAGCGGCTTCCTAAAATAAAGTCTAAGCTCGTTAGCCTGTTCTTCAAAGCTATCTGCCCCCCACCCCCGTTCTATCTGTGCAGCCCGCCCCTCTCCCAAACACAAGCCCCAGCCAAACTTACTGTTCCCCCAAATTTTTCCATGCTTTTCTCCTTTAGATTTTTGCTCACTCTGTTCCTTCATCATTTCACCTATTCAACAAATATTTATTAAGCATCTACCATTTGCCAGGTCATGGGCAACTTGCACAACTCCTGGAATATTCTTTCATTTCTGCATAATGAAGCCCAGCTCCAATGCCATCTTCATAAAATACTCTTTGATTGATCTTAGCAAAAAAATCTCTCCCTCTCCTGAATTCCCCTCAGGCTTTTTGAACTCCATCTGCTACCTGTCTCAGTTGGCCTCCCAGTCCTAAGAGTGTTAGATGCTTCTTAAAATTGCTTCTTTCCTATCCCTTTATGTCCTCTTCTTACCTTTTCAATTACCTGATAAACAGCTTTATACATATTTAACAGTTCTTGATATTAGATTTTGTATGGTCAAATAACATGTGATTTCCATCTCCTGATTGGACCTTGAATAATACACTCCTGTTACCTTCAGCGTCTCTCTTCCCTTCAGTATGTGAATACTGTGAAGTCTCTCATTTGCCTCATACAAAAAACAAAAAACAAAAAGCCTCCTTTGAACCTGTAGCTCCTTCTAGCTATCATTTCTGTTTTTCTCTTTCTCTTCTTGACCATGAATTTCCCCCAAAGTAGCTTGCATTTGATACTTCCACATTTTTAACATACATTCACTCTTCAAGCCATAGTGATCTGGTTTGGTCCTACCACTAAAACTACTCAAATGCATTGTCTGTTACTTAGACTTCATCTTTTTTGACATCGCTGCTGCAAATAACACTCTTGATGATACCTCATACTTGAAACACCTTCCTGGGTTTCCTTGATCCTCCTAGTTTCATAAGCATTATTTAAGGTCCTTTCTGTACAGCCTGAAATGTTGATATTTCTCAAGAATCTGTCCCTGGTTCTCTTGCTATATTATAGCTTTTTCAGGGTGATTTTACTTATTTTTGTGACTTCAAATGCCATATATATAGCTCCCCACCAGACTACAGTACTGTGCTATAGGCTCATATAGCCTTCTTTTTTTTTAAATTGAAGTATAGTTGATTTACAATGTTGTGTTAGTTTCAGGTGTACAGCAAAGAGATTCCCATATATATACATATATGTATATATGTATTGTTTTTCAGATTCTTTTCCCTTATAGGTTATTACAAAATATTGAGTATAATTCCCTGTGCTATACAGTAGGTCCTTGTTGGTTACCTATATTTTATATCATGTATCCTTTTTATGGAATGCTCCACCTGGATGTCCACAGGTGTTTACCACCTAAACTCATTATTTTCCCAATATAAACATTTTTCTGTTTATCAAGGGGTATCACCACCCACCTAGATACCCAAGCATGAAGTCTGACAGTCATTCTAGACTTATTCTCCCTTGTATGAAGTTATTTGGATTCCCTTAAAAGTCTCTTGAATTTATTCTCACTTTTCCATTCCCATAGCCTGGGTACAGAGTGTCACCATCCTTTGCTTGATTTCATCAAACAAGCCTTCTGACACGTCTCCCATCCTCTAACTTTCTCCTGGCTTCAGTCCATCTTCTCCAGGATGACCCAGGTAATCTTTGTAATTTGTCTCTCTCCTCGCTGGTCCCCAGTCACTCCACCACATACATGATGAGATGCAATAAGATTCCTAAATTTGCATTCAAGACCTTGTTCTGGCTGACTCCTCCCTACTGCAATAGCTTCTCTAATCACTCAAAAAAAAAAAAAAAAGCAAACTGCTCATAATTCTTCAAGGACACCATGACATTTTATGCCCTTAACTCTCCTAATCAACCTGAAACCTATCTGTCTTTCAAAATTTATTTTAGTCATGATTTCCTCCAGAAAGTCTTAATTTTCCAAACATAATAAGCATTTCTCATTTTGTACCTTACACCTGCTCTATTTCTGCTATTTTCACATGATATTGTAATGCGTTTGTTAATGTGTGTGTCTCCCCACCTTGGCTGTTTCTGAATATTCTTCAAATAACTCGTTTATTGAGTACTTATTATGAGCCAGACAATTATGAAGTGGTTAAAATGCAGCATTAAACCCCCACCATAACCCTGTAAGGTACAAATGAAGTAGTTGGCATAGGTCACTGTCAGTAAATGGCAGAGCCAGGAGTTGAGCTGAGGTCAGCTTGACTGTCAGTCATGTTCTGAACCAACACGTCATACCAGCCCATCCTGAAAATTCGGTGTTATAACAAATTGTAAAAGGGTTTTCATGAAATAATTAAAACTGCTGTTTTGATTCTGTTTTTCCCCACAGACTTAGTCTTTACTGCACATGTCTATTTTTTTTGAGGTCCTATTTATACAGTTGGATGAGTTTTGGCAAATGTTTACAGTTGTGTGACCACTACCACAATTAAGATATAGAACATTTCCATCATCTCAATTTCCTTCATGCCTGTTTGAAGTCAAATCTCTCTCCATCCCACTTCCATGGGAACAACTGATCCGTTTTCTCTCCCTTTAATTTTGCATGTTTATGAACATCTTATATATGGAACCACACAGTACACTACCTTTTTGGTCTAACTTCTTTAACTTTGCAAATACTTTTGAGATTTGTCCGTGGTGTTGCATGTATCAATAGTTTGTTTCTCTCTATTGCTGAGTAGTGTTGCACTGCATGGATGTACAACATCCATTCACTGGTTGATGGACATTTGGGTTCTTTGCAGTTTTGGACTGTTATAAATAAATCTGCTCTAAACAGTTATACACAGGTTTTTGTGTGAACATATGTTTCTCCTTCCTTGGGAAAATACCCAAGAGTGTAATTTCTGGATCTTATGCCATGTGTATGTTTGATGTTATGAGAACTTGCCAAACTGTTTTCCAAAGGAACTATACTATATTTGCATTCCCATCAGCAATGAGTCAGACATCCAGTTGCTTTATATGCCCTACAACACTTGATATTGTCAGGCCTTTAATTTTAGTCTTCCTATTGGGTATGTAGTGCTATCTCCTTCTGGTTTTAATTTGCATTTCCTTCATGACTAATCATGATGAGCTGATTCTCTGTACTTGTTAACCATTTCTGCATTTTCTTTTGTGAAACATCTGTTCAAATATTTTTCCTACTCTTAATTGGGCTGTTTGTCTTATTACTGAGTTGCAAGAATTTGCTATACATTCTGGATCAGGTCATTTATCATATATATAATTTGGAAATAATTTTGGACCTGGTTCATTACAGTGGAAAATGAAATTTAGAGACCATAATCTAAACACTAGCGTTGCTCATTGCTACTAGGTTGGTCATTCCTTCTAGGCCTTCTCAGAAGCCTGGTGAAGCTCTGAATTCAGCACACATTATAAACCAGATATCTACAGATCCAGACCATGGTTATAACAGATAAGATATCACTGTGGGGCAGGCATAGGCACTCTCTGGTTCTCTAGCCATGGCTTCTACTGGGATCTTAAAACTGTCATTTTCTGTCTCAGAACTACTAAATATAATTAGAGGTAGTTCACCCTCCCCACATCCCTTATAACCCTTCTGTCCACCACACTGTGCTATGGCAGCAGTCACTTATTCTGTCAGAGCTCTTCATTAGGTACTTCTTTTTAGGAGACCACAAGTGACTCCCAATAAGCCATCCTCTCAAAGTAAGCAAATCTTCAGTTTTCAAATTCAATCAGGTCAAATAGCCAGTCCCAGATTTACATCTGTGAACTTCTAAGATCAGTAATCACTTCTCGTTTCAATTACTGTGTCATTTGAAGTCCCATTACAGACAACAAAATCTATTCTAGTTAGCAGGGAATTAGAGATTTATAGCATTGTTGCAAAGGCTGGAGAAACAGGTTCTAGGCTGATATTTCAAAGATGACTTTCAAAACAATACCGCAGAGCATAATTCACAATAACTATGAATTGAAAACAACTTGTGTCCACTGACAGATGAATGGATAAAGAAAATGTGTATCTATGTACAATGGAAGATTATTCAGCCATAAAAAAGCAGGGACTCCTGCCATTTATGCCAACATGGATGGACTTGGAGGGCATTATGCTCAGTGAAATAAGTCAGACAGAGAAAGACAAATACAATATAATCTCACTTTATATGTGGAACTGAA